TCTACCAATGTTTTTGTCTGCTTAAAATGTATATACCTGTTTGTTACCAATTAGATTAAGTTTGTACAAGAGATGGTAATAAAAAATAGTCTTTATTTTGCATAAGTAAAGCTAAATGAAGTATAATAAGTGTAAAAGTCACGTTTTCAGAGTTGTTTAAAATTTCCTGTGATGATATAAAAATTAATAATAAATAAAATACCATAAAATTTCATAAAGATATACGTAAAAATTAGAGGTATCTCACTTATTTATAAAATTTATTGTTATTTTTTATATATTTCTGTTATTGTATTATTATTATTATTTAGAGAAAGCGTCTCCATATTTAAGTCTATAAAGCTAAATTACCTAAAAATCAACAAAAAGTTAGACTGTTGAAAATATTTGTTACTTTGTAAAAATTACTGGCTAATTAAATAAGTTCACCTAAAATTTGTAAAATTTATGTCGCTTCTGTTCATCCGTTCAATAAATTCTCCTAACGTAAGCTCTCAATACCATCGATTGATATATCGAAAACAGGTGACCCTGGTTAAGAAATGCTTTTCTTATTTTTTTACTACGATTTTTCGGCTACACTTTGGATTAAATGAATTTTAAATTTCCCTATTTTCCTAAGAAAAAGAATATTTTAATTTTGCAAGATTTTTAAAAAAGAGAATTAACTTTTGTTTTAAAAAAGAGAATGAACTTTTGTTTACAAATATCTCAAAAATGGACGACACCCTCTAATTTTACTGAAATAAAATTATGGTTTCAATATAAATTCGGTTTAAAATACTCCAAAGTATTTTGCTTTCTGGGTATGGTAGACTTATTCCATTACCATTAAATTAAAACTAAAAGGAAGTTTCAAGAAAGATGTCCCATTTTAAAAAAATACATTTTAAACATTAGGTATCGAGAATCTTGTTCCGTCTCTCCCTAGATAGAGAGATAGACAATGTGCAAATTGATATTATATATATATATATATATATATATATAGATAGATAGATAGATAATCTATACATTTAGATAGAAAATGTACACATTGAAACAGGTAATGTACAAATTGATATATATATATCAATCTGTACACTGTTCAATGTGTGCATTCTAACTAAAAACACACATACAAATTTATATATATATATATATATATATATATCAATTTATATATACCTATATATATATTTATATCTAAATCAATTTATTATCTATTATCTATCTACCTATCTATCTATCTATCTATATCTATATATATATATATATATATATATATATATAGATATATCTATCTATCTGTCTATCTATATATATATATATATATATATATATATAGATAGATAAATAGATAGATAGATAATCTATACATTTAGATAAAAATGTACACATTGAAACAGAGTAATGTACAAATTGATATATATATATATATATATATATATATAGATATATATATAGATAGATAGATATGATCTATACATGTAGATAGATAATGTACAAATTCAAATAGATAATGTAAATACTGAGATAGATATATTATGTACAAATTGATATATATATATAATATAACTATATATATAAATATATATATAGATAGATAGATAGATAGATAGATAGATACATAATGTACACATTGAAATAGATTGATAGATAATGTAAATATTGAGATTGATAAATTATGTACAAATTGATATTATACACATATATATATATATATATATATATATATATATATATATATATATATATATATATATATATATATGTATGTATAAATAAAAAGAAAAGAACAGTAAGATATATAATCCGGTGTTCCGAGCAGTTAGCTTCCATTTTTGAAACATGGTTAAAACTGTGTAGCGAAAATTAATTGATAATACACATATAATGTAAATTTATATATATATATATATATATATAGATAGATAGATAGATAGATAGATAGATAGATAGATAATGTACACATACAAATAGATATATTGATAGATAGATAGATAATGCAAATTTTGAGATAGATGAGGTATGCGTTGAAATATATAGCTCGATATATAGATAGCTTAATAGATAGATAGATGGATAAACAATGTACACATTAAAATAGATAGATAGATAATGTACGCATTGAGATAGATAGATAGATAGATAGATAGATAGATAGATAGATAGATAGATAATGTACGCATTGAAATAGATAGATAGATAGATAGATAGATAGATAGATAGATAGATAGATAGATAGATAGATAGATGACAGATTAAGCCTAAGAAGTACAAATAGTGTAACAGATATGAAGTGATTGAGATATAGATATAGTAACTGTACGATAAAGTCATAGATTGAATTACCCTAACTTGGCTATGTAGCCTGCCAAGATGTATGGATGGAGCAATGTATTATCACATTGATTGATTCATCTTTTAAATGGTATAAGCTGAGAGAGATGTGGGAAAAAGGAGATGTGAAGGGAGGCTACTCTAGCTTCAGGTGGCCGGTCGAAACGGCCAGCGACATTGTGGCCCGCTTCGCCAAAGAGACATAAGCAAATTATTTCACAAGGTTCACCAAATCTCTGGCGACGATGATCCGGGAGCAGAATTAGATTTGGGAGAAATGAAATCTGCGGTTCCAGAATTGGGAACGGGATAATCTAATAGGGAAACCGGAAACCTAGAATTGACCAAAGGCAGTTGGCGTGTCTTCGTTTCCCGCCATCTTCGCCCTGTTGATTATACGTTTCTTTTCTTTCCCTTTCTATTTCGTCGTTTTCTCCTTGTTGTGGCCATTCATTTTTAGAGAGCTTGCTACTTACGTGTTTTCTTTTCTTTCTCTTTCCAATTCTTATAATATCTGGTCTTTCTTTCTTTCTTTCATTCTTTCTTTCTTTCTTTCTTTTTTCTTTCTTTCTTTCTTTCTTTCTAGTGATTTTCTTTTTATTCTTCTTTTTGTCTTTTTCTTTCAGTTTTCGCTTTAGTTATATTTTTCTTTCGTTCTTTTTTGTCTTATTTTTCCTTTATTCTTTCTTTTTTTCTTTTTTTGTCTTTTCGTTCTTTCATTTTTGTCTTTTTCTTTCTGTTTTATCTTTTTCTTTTTTGTCCTTTCTTTCTTTATTTTTGACCTTTTCTTTCTTTCTTTTCCTTTCTTTGAAGCGACGTTATTTTATAGATTTTTCATGTTTTCTTGTTAGCTTAAATTGTATTTACTTTTCTTTCTTTTTTTATTTCTTTCTTTCTTTCTCAATTTCTATCCTTCCTTTTTCTTGCTTTTTCTTTTTACTTTTCTTTTGAATTGTATTGCTTTTTTTCTTTCTTTCAAGCGATGTTATTTTATTATTGTGTTTTTCTTTTTTTAGTATTGTTTCTTTCGCCGTTTTGAATTAAGTTTCTCTTTTTCTTTTTTCCTTCTTTCACGCGTCCTTATTTTTGTCCATTTTACTTTCGCTTGAATTGTTCTTCTTTCTTTCTTTATTTATTTCTTTCAAGTGAACTCATTTTTATATTCCGTTTTTGTCTTCTCTTTTTTATTTGGAATTGTCTTTCTTTTTCTCTCTTCCATTTTTCATTCAATCAACATAAATTTAACTTACATCTTTTGTTTCTACATCTTTTGCTTTCGTTCTTTTTTCTTTCTTTCTTTCTTTCTTTTTTTTCTTTGCATACTTTCTTTATTTTCTTTGAATGTCTTTCATTCAATCATTCATTTATTCATACATTTGTTCTTTCTTTTCTCATTTCCTTTCTTTCAATTGTCCGATATTATTTGGCTTTTCCTTCTGTGTTTTTTATTGTCTTTTTCGTAGTTTTCCTCGTTCTTGTATTCCTTCATCTTTTCTTTTTTTTTTTGTTCATTCTCTTTCTTCCATTCATCATTTTTTTCTTCCTCATTTCTTTCTTGATTTTCTTTTTCTTTGTTTTTTTTTCTTTTTCAGTTTTTTTTATTTCTTGTTTTCTTTACTTTTTCACTCTTCCCGTTAATTCTTTTGCTTCTTGCATAATTATTCTACCTTAGGTTCTTTCTTTCTTTCTTTCTTTCATTCCTTCCTTCCTTCCTTCCTTCCTTCCTTCCTTCTTTCTTTCTTTCTTTCTTTTGATTATCATTCTCTCACATCTTTCTTCCTTTCTTTCTTTCTTTTGATTATCATTCTCTAACTTCTTTCTTTCTTTTTTCTTTCTTTCTTTCTTTCTTTCTTTTGATTGTCATTCTCTAACTTCTTTCTTTCTTTTTTCTTTCTTTCTTTCTTTCTTTCTTTCATTCTTTCTTTCTTTCTTTCTTTCTTTCTTTTGATTATCATTCTCTGACTTCTTTCTTTCTTTCCTTCTTTTTTCTTTCTTTCTTTCTTTTGATTGTCATTCTCTAACTTCTTTCTTTCTTTCTTTCTTTTTTTCTTTCTTTCTTCCATTCTTTCTTTCTTTCTTTCTTTCTTTCTTTCTTTCTTTCTTTCTTTTGATTATCATTCTCTAACTTCTTCCTTTCTTTCTTTCTTTTTTTTTTTTCTTTCTTTCTTTCTTTTGAATTTCATTCTCTAACTTCTTTCTCTCTTTTTTCTTTCTTTTACATGATTTTCTTGTTTTACCTTTTCTATATTATTCTTTGCCTTTTCCTCCCTTGAGTTTGCGTATTTTGTTATTCCCATTTACCTTCCTCTGTTTTCTTTCCTTACAATGACACTCTTCTTTTCTTCTATAACCTTTTTCATTCCTACATCTCATTCTTTTCTTTCTTTTTTTTTTTTTTTGGCTATTAGTCGATTTTTTTTCCTTCTCTTTATTGTAGTTTCTTTATTTATCTTTTTTGTTCGCAGTTTATCCTGGATTTTTCTATTTCGCTCTTTCTTTTATTTTTCATTGCCTTCCATTAATTCTCTTTCTTTTTTTCATAATTATTTTCTACCCCGTGTCCTTCCTTTACTTCTTTGTCTTTTCTTTCTTTCTTTCTTTCTTTCTTTCTTTCTTTCTTTCTTTCTTTTTTCGTATTTTTTCTTGAATTTTGCCCTTTCTTTCATTCTTTCTTTCTTTCTTTCTTTCTTTCTTTCTTTCTTTTTTTTGTCTTTTCTTTCGTAATTTTTCTTGATTTTTTTGCTCTTTCTTTCTTTCGTACTTTTTCTTTCTTTTTTTCCCTTTCATTCTTTCATTCTTTCTTTCTTTTTTTCTTTTCTTTCGTAATTTTTCTTGATTTTTATCTTTCTTTCTTTGTTTCCTTCTTTGTTTCTTTGTTTGTTTGTTTCTTTCTTTCTTTGTCTATTTCTTTCTTTCTTTTTTGTCTCTTCGTTCGTATTTTTTCTTGATTTTTGTGCCCTTATTTCTTTCATTCTTTCTTTCTTTCTTTTTTGTCTTTTCTTTCGTAATTTTTCTTGATTTTTTGCTCTTTCTTTCTTTCTTTCTTTCTTTGTCTATTTCTTTCTTTCTTTCTTTCTTTCTTTCTTTCTTTCTTTCTTTCTTTCTTTTGTATTTTTTCTTGACTCTTTGCCCTTTCTTTCATTCTTTCTTTTTTGTCTTTTCTTTCGTAATTTTTCTTGAATTTTTGCTCTTTCTTTCTTTCTTTCTTTCTTTCTTTCTTTCTTTCGTATTTTTCGTGATTTTTTGCCTTTTCTTTCATTCTTTCATTCTTTCTTTCTTTTTTGTCTTTTCTTTCGTATTTTTTCTTGATTTTTTGCTCTTTCTTTCTTTCTTTCTTTCTTTCTTTCTTTCTTTGTCTATTTCTTTCTTTCTTTCTTTCTAAATTTGTCCCATAATTATTCTACCTCATTTTTTTTTCTTTCTATTGATTGACATTTTCTATTTCTCTTAATTCTTTTCTTTCCTTTACACGATTTCTTTGTTTCTCTTTCTTTGTTTTTTTTTTCCTTTGACCATTTCTTCCGTTCCATTTCTAGATTTTCTTTATTTCTCCATTTTCTTCCTCTTTTTTTCTTTCTTTGCGTTAACCTTCCTTCCGTTTCTTCTACAAGCTTTTTCTTATAAACTTTCTTTTCATTTTTCTTTCTTTCGTTCATTCATCTTTCTTTCCCTTTCCCTTATGCATTAATTGCTTTTCGTCAAACATACCTGTTCTTAGACGCATCTGTCTATATATTTCTATTCCAGCGCACCTCTATGCAGGCATATATTATTGTTATGTTCCTTTTATTGAATTCTTTTGAACACAAAGATAGTATGAAAATATAAAAGAGACAAATGTAAGAAGAAAAACGTTTCGAAGAATAAAAGAAAGAAAGGAAACTTGGTATAAAGAACAGAAGAGAAAAAAAAAGGGTATGAGCAAATCCTCGAAAATTAATTTGCGAAATTGTTTTTGGAAAAGAAGAAACGTTAAGATGGAAAGAAAAAAAATCAAAAGGAAAGAGAGGCGTGTCTGGAACGTGATAAAACGAAAAGGAACGAAGACATGGTAATGTGTTTGAAACGAATTTGGCGGTCAGAGGCGAAAGGTGGATACTGCGAATGGGATGCTCTAGACATTATGTCCCCAAATTACAATAAAATGACACTGTCTGGCACTTTGTTGACTGCTATATCGATCGGAACCGATATATAAATATATATATATATATATATATATATATATATATATATATATATAGGTTCAATCGATATATGAACCAATCGATATATATATATATATATATATATATATATATATATATATATATACAGGTTCTGATCAGTATATATATATATATATATATATATATATATATATATTTAAAAAAAACAGACCCCTTTGAGGTTCCATTATAATAATTTATATATCGGAACCGATATATATATATAGATCTATATATATATATATATATATATATATATATATATATATATATATATATATATATATATATATATATATATATATATATATATAGATATATATCGGTTCCGATCGATATATATATATATATATATATATATATAGGTTCTGATCAGTATATATATATATATATATATATATATATATATATATATCGGTTCCGATAAAAAAATTATTACAATGGAAACTTAAAGTACAAAGTAAATTTACAGAGCATAGATATTATAAATTAACTGATTTAAAATACGTTCTTTTTATCCGAGCGCTTTCGGCTATACATTTAGCTATTTTTAAGGATTAAATATTTTAAGTGTTAAATAAGAAATAGTTTGTTGTATGTATGTTTTATAAAATGCTATCATTTTTTAAAACATGGTCAAGATATTGTGTCCATGTTTGACACGTTGAATCACTACACTTTTCTGGCCATAGCTCAGTTCGATCTCATTTAAATATTCACGGAGACCTACCGGACACTATTCGTAACATACTTATTAACAACACTAATATAATAGCATCATCTACATGCAAAAAAAAAAAGGCGAAAAATAATGGAAGACTTATTAATAAAAACCAAAAAAAATCAACATTTAAAAAATATTAAATTTGAATATGGAGCCGTCACTTCTACTCGAATAGCTTCATGCCTCGCACTTCCCGTCTGTGCAGCTCCCTTCCGCTTACTTCCTTCCCTGATAGCTATAATCTCC